CTTTATACTTTCACTCTATCTAGTGCATGAAAGGAAGAAAGACAAGTAAGCCACATACCAGTAAAACATTTACTGAACTACAATATTTGTGAGATTTGTCACTGGAATTTGGCAGTGAATATATGTATGTTTAATCCAGAGATAATTTAATTTTCCATTTTGTCTGCCAACCGAATAGTTTAGGGAGCCTTGAGGTGAGGAAGTGAAACAGAAATATATAATTATCTCATATAAATTAAATGATATGGATACTCTCTGTGGCAAGTTACTTGATAAGTGGCTTTGAAAGATTTAACCTTTGCAATGGCAATTAAAAATGTTTTAAGGCTGTTTTTATCCATTTAGGGTATATAGCTGGAATCCAACCATACACTTGTCATTGTGCACCCTTTCTCTAGAGCCTCATGGCCACTTCAGGCTAAATTTAAAACTAATTTCTGAACATTTAGCTCAGACCTTTGGCAACACAAATGTGTTCTTTCCCTGGGGACCTTCATTGAGGAAAAAAAGCAGGTAAAGAGAAAGCACTTCTCAAAGCACTTAAGAGGAAGTGATTTGTTACTACATTTCTTCAGGGTGGTGGGTTTTTTTTTGAAACTTCTCATTTAAGCTCAGGATATTCCAAGATTTCTTGATGGTCTCCGATCAGGGTACTAAGCAGGTCAGATCTTGCTTAGCATTCTGGAATCGTCAAATCCTGCTGTAAAGAAAAGCAGGATAGAAGGAATGCATGAAATGAATGAATGAATTAAATAAAGTTTTAATGAATAAAATAACTACGGTCTTTTGAAGTGTACCTGTGTTTGTCTGCATAAGAGAGGAAGGTATTTTATACTGCCTGTATTCCCTTTGGCTGTTGGCATGCAATACAATCTTGTCTTAGCAAACCCTGTTCAGAAATTTGGATTTCTTTTGAAGCTTATTTGGGATGGGGAAAGGTGAATTGCAGATTTTGGACCAATATTTATTAAATAGTGGGAAAGTAGGATTTCATACCTTCCTTTAGAATGATCTTCCAATAGTCTGAGAACCGTTCAACTCAAGACCAAAACACCCTGGAGTAATTGATACTCCGTGCAGAGGTGGCATTCAGCAGGTTCTGACCAGTTCTGGAGAACAGGTAGCAGAACTTTTGAGTAGTTCGGAGAATCAGTAAATACCATCTCTGGTTGCCCCTGCCGCCATCTATTCGCTGCCTCCCAAGTCTCAGCTGATCGGAGTCCCAGCCGATTGGCTGGGTCTTCTTTTGTTGCCCTTCACAGGAGAAAGGAGCTGGAAATCAGGTTAGTGGGGTGGGGAGAGAATGGGGATTTTACAGTATCCTTCCCCTGCCACGCCCACCAAGCCGCACCCACAGAACCGGTAGTAAAAAAAATTGAATACCACCACTGACTCAGTGGTATAGTTAACTCTCCCAGTTGAGAGCAAGAGGGTGCTAAAAATGTTTTGAACATCTATTGAAGTCACATCGCTATACATGGCAAGAGATTTTAGGGGTTGAATTTTTAAAAATCCAGTTTTTCAGCTTCTGGTGAAATGCATAATTTAAATTAGATGTTATTATAGAAATGCAGCAATTAGACTCATAAATTATGTATTTCAAAAAAATGTGACATTGTCATGTGGCTGTATATTTTGAAAAGTTGACCAAATTATCTCCTTTTTTATTAGTTTTTAATATAAAATACACAAACAAATAGTAGGAAAAATAGGGGATGGAAAAGGGTTCAAAAATTGACATCGTGAAATGGCTATGTATTTTGAAAAGATTATCAAATTCTGCTGGCAATTAACATTTTAAAATTTTGATTTCCAGCTGAAATGTGAAATAACAGAATTGCTATAATTACATTCTGGTTTGCTTTTTAAAGGACACATTCCCGTTATTTTTTAAATATGTCATGGCATAATACTCCTTAATTTTAAAACTAATCTTTAAATTTAATAATCAGTAAAAAATGAGTACAATATTGATTTTAAAAGATAGCTACGTTTTTGTTATTTTTACATTATTGTATATATTCTAGTCACATTCTAGAACTGAAGTATATTATATATTCTCCAGTATTAAAACACTAATGGTCTCTGTTTATTATGTAAAATAGAAATGAAGCATCAATGGTAAATAATTCAATTAATAGATTATTATTGAATTGTCAGTGCAGCATAACTACATTCTTTTTTAAGCCCAATTTACCAAGTATGAGGGTACTTTGCCAGTAAAAATTACAACATCAAAAGAGTTAGTTAAAATATTTCCAGACTAATCTATTGTTTGTTTGTTTGTTTGTTTATTAGACACATTTATCTGGCTGGCGATTCCGGGTTGCTTAAAAAATTAAAAATCCATAGTATAGAAACCATAACAACAACAACATCCCTGTGGCAGCAACAAACACAATCAAACAGCCACTTGATCAGCTCTATATCAACCTGGGGTTCCAAGGCCTACTGGCAGAACCATGTCTTCTGGGCTGTCTGGAAAAGTATCATGGTTAATCTTATATTTGGGAAATAATATTCCATAAGGAGGGAACAATAACAGAGAAGGCCCTTTTTCTTAGTTCCACTCCGCTTGTCTGACAGATGGGACCCGCAACATACTTTGTCTTCCTGCTTTGGTGGGCCAGGTACACAGTATGTAACTGGGGAGAGGCAGTCCTTTAACTAACTTGGCCACAAGTCATGTAGGGCTTTAAAAGTGATAACCATTATGTTGAGTTGGGCCTAGAAGCAAATCAGCAACCTGTGCAACTCCCACAAAAGAGATGGCATATGCACAAATCTAGATTTACACAAAACTATGCAGGCTGCTGTATTTTGAACCAGTTGAACTGGTGGATACTTTCAAGAGTGGTCCTATGTAGAATGTGGTACAGTTGTCCAAATGGGAGGTGACTAGGGCTTGAATGTCTGTGAGAAGGGCATGTTAGTTCAGGAATGAGCATGACTATATATAGCTATCAGTTGCACAAAGCCCTCCTGGCCACAGCTGTCATCTGCTTCTTGAGCAGAAATCAGAAGTCCACTATGCCCGACTGAGGGAGTGCAACCATGACCAAAGATGGTAATTCTCCAAGAACCAAGAAATCCTGAACTCAAAGCTCCTGCATCAGTTTCAGCCTATTGCTGCTCATATAGACCTCAACACCTTCCAGATACTAAGAAAAAGCGGTCAAGGCATCATTTAACTCACAATTTGCAGAAATGTACAATGGAGTATCATCAACATGATGAATGATCTCACGTAGCAGCTTTATGTAGATATTAAACAAGAATGGAGAAAGCACCAACTTCTGTGTAAATCTTGGGCCACAGGTTGGACCTCTCACTCCCAATCAAAGCTGACTGAAAAAAGCTTCTGAGGAAGGAAGTGAACCAGATAACATAGTGCTTCCCATGCCCAACCCCCAGAGCTGCTACAAAAGGATACCTTGATCAATAGTATTGAAAACTGGAGAGGCCAGGTAGAGCATGAATATACTAACCACATCCTGCTCCCACCAGCGATCATCAAAAAGCAAAACCAATACCATTTCAATCCTGTAGCCATCCTGAAACCTGATTGAAAGGAGTTCAGATAATCCATTTTATCCAGGATGCTCTGGAGCACACTTACCCTATATTCACTTACCATGTCACAGCCTCCAGTTTCCCATAGAAGCCTCTTCACAGTACAAAATCACATTCAAAACAAAGTAGTCCATGAGTAGCTTTGCATTTAGTTGATCAGAGGAAATTGGCCATGCAAAACCTTCAGCAGTTGAGCAAGCCAAACACACTTCACAGAATGCTGCTGTAGCTACCAGCCCATCACCATGTGGTCTACATTCTTGTAGATGCCGTACTTGCTACTTCTACATTCCAAGTCTGGGGCTTTAACAATCCAAAGTACAGCAGCCTATCATCACCTATTTTTGCTATTTCTTTGTCTGTGTAAACTCCAAGAAGCCATCTGACTTAATACTAATAAGACATAAATCTTGTTTTGCAGGAATTTTGGACCTTTTAAAATAGTATCAGCCATGTAGTTTGACAATATTACTAGAAGTAGGGTAAACAGTATATGAGTCTTAAGATATTTATATATGAAGTATTTTAACAAAATTCTGCAAATATTTTTATTCAGTTGGCTGCAACATCTTTTAGAATCTTATTTGCTGGCATTATACTGCCATGTTCTCTGTCTAGAAGAAGCTATAGGAAATGAATTTGTAAAGGATGATGTTTCCCTTTTTTAGTTATATCATTATTTATTTATTTATTTATTTATTTATTTATTTATTTTGATTTGCCAATTGTTTACAAGATAATAAGTATAAGTGTATACATAGTTGTGAATACATAAAATGGATACATATAAGAAAAATAAAAGAAGAATAAGAGAAACAATAGGACAGGGACGGTAGGCACGTTGGTGCGCTCATGCATGCCCCCTACAGACCTCTTAGGAAAGGTCAATAGTAGACAGTCTAAGGTTAAAGTTATTGGGGTTTGGGGAAGAGACTATAGAGTCGGGTAGAGTATTCCAGACATTGACCACTCTATTGCTGAAGTCGTATTTCTGCAATCAAGTTTGGTGCGGTTAACTTTGAGTTTGTATCTATTGTGTGCTCTTGTGTTGTTATGGTTGAAGCTGAAGTATTCATTTTTGGTTTGAGAAGGCAACCAAGAATTCATTCTCTTGCTTTTCAAGCCTAAAAATCTAAAAGAATGCAGTGGATTTTGGCCGTCCACTGGTGTTGGTAGACTCTTTGTCTGATAGTTTAGAAATATTTGAAAACACATGAACAACACTAAAGTAGGGCAGGGGGAAGCTTTCCATAATACCATGTAAATTATGCAATGTAATAATATTGTCTTGCTTTTAAAATCTAGTAAAACTTTTCAAAACTCAGTCCATATTTCTGGTCTCCTACCTACCACATTGTCAGCTACTGAAGTACTGTCATTTTTACTGTCTTCTCTGATTTGCTGAAACAAATTTAGTTTTCTTGCAGACTTTTTTAAGAAACACATCTTACTGTGGAGCTCAAGATGACGAGTATCGGGTGGAGGTTACTACAGCTTTGCAGCGAATTGACTTATTCACAGAGCAATTCAACACTATCCTCTTAACTTCTATATCTGTCTTCATTAAAGGGGATCTTACTATAGCAAATCTGGGGACATCTGAAGGACACTTTATGCAAGTAAGCCATATAATATACTGCTTGTTATTGTTGCTGTTTTTCCAACAAATCCATTTTTATAAGTTGAACAGTTCGTTCAAATAGTAACCAGCATATTTATTGCAGGCTGTACCTCTCCAGTTGCTTTGCAGGAAAAGTCAGCAATTGTGTGGACAAATAGTAGGGTAATATATTCAGTAAATTGTTTTATGATTAAATGTGATATGGGGAATAGAATTATAATTTGTTATAGCTTCCTTTAAAGAGCCAGCACTTGATGTAAAATATTTGTATACCCTCCACAGAAATAAAAATAAGATTTTCCTATTTCAGAATAGCGTTCTTCTCATTTCTATCCTAAGTCAGATCATTTCATACCTTTTGTCTTCATTACACTGAAGTCTAGAAAATCTAACACAATACTTCCAGAGCACGTTTCCTTTGGTAAGGCCAGCCAAGGGACTAAAAAGAATGCTATTGTCTGAAATACACTGTGCCATTAGCAGAAATGTGTATATCCTCTGCATTGAGTTACTGAGCAAAAATTGTCTTCAAGATTGTATTTTAATAATCTGTGGAGTCTTCCCCTCCTCCCCCAGTTTTGTTAGAAGAGGCTGACATTTTCAAAAGTCTAAAACATATGAATTGCTTTTAATGCTTAGTAAACATCCTATCTCTTCTTAATATTTTTGTCTTGTGATGCATCTTTTAGGCATAAAAAATAAGAGAAGGGATATGAATATTATAGAACATATTTAGGATTTCCTTTATTTTGTTAAGCAGATAGTTGCAAGGGAAATAGTTTCAAATATATTCTTGCTGTTTCATGCTGTTATATTCATGCTGCTGTTATATTCATGCTGTTATATTCATGCTTATATTCATGCTGTTTCTTGGGATTATCAATAATAAACAAAATTTAAATGTGATATCTGTTACTAGGATTGGTTAACCTCAGGACAAGGACAATAGTTATATATTAGAACAAACCAAATACTCTTAACACTCTGTTTAGACATGATTGGCATAATTATTTACAAAATGTTGAAATGTCATTCGTACAGAATTGTGCAATCAATATGTTGTTAGCAGGTAAGCTGTGCTATGGACTTTTTATTTGTAAAAACTGCAATAAGGAGATGAGGACCTTTTTATTTAAAAAATGAAAAACAGCAGCTGTCTTGTCTATGAAGCTTTGTTACAATTTCTGAATTTTCATGTTTGAGCTTTCTGCTAAGTATTGGGGCCTTTGGAGTGCTTAACTGTAACAACTATCTTGACAGTGCAACCCTATACTAGTTTCGTCCCAAATATCCCTCTGCTATTCATTGAGCTTCTGAAGTAACTGCATAGGGTTGGGGCACAAATCAGCTTTGATTATGTTATTGTGCACATTTTATGAGGCAGACTTTTTAACATTTGACATTTTTATTGAGTTATATAATAAAATAAGATACAAAATACAGAAGTAAATAGGAAAACAATAGGGAGGAAGAGGGAGAAGAAAAGTGAGGAAGGATAAGAAAAAAAGAAAAAGAAACATTGACTTCCTACTCTCTCTGTTGCAGTAAAACAAGGTATTAATATCAAATCACATTTTTTCATAATAATATGAGTAAGCCATTTCTATAAAAATCTATAAATCTAATCAGTAAAATCCAAAATCAAAGTTTCATTCTTTTCCACTTCAAGCACAAAGTTCAGAAGCAGTCTCCATGTGGAAACAAAAGTACTTACATTCTTTTCTTTAATCAAAATAGTCAATTTTGCCATTTCAGCCAACTCTGTCAACTTCTGCAACCATTCGTCCATGGTAGGCATCAAAGTGTCCTATTTTTGTGCATACAATAGTCTTGCTGCTATCAATATATATAGTAACAAAGTTCCATTTTTTTTCTCCAAGCGTTTTTCCATTAGCAACACATTATATCCAAAATTCCTTGCCTACTGAATCATACAGTGTTTACATGTTCATTGCCTTCTGGGTGCTGGCACACCCAAAAAGGTTAGCTACCACTGCCCTAAGTATTTCACCTTTTTCTCAACCCTAAAGCCCAACTTTTTGTTCCAAATACCACTATCCTGAGAAGACATATTCTTGATCAGCATTGTTGTTTTCGGTTTATTTATTTTGAAACCTGCCAAAGTCCCAAACTCATTCAGCTTCCTCATCAAGTATTCTATATTATTTTGGGGTCCTCTAAAAATATAACCAGATCATCAGCAAATGCCCTCAATTTATAAATTTCTTTCTTAATATTTATGCCCCTTATTTTATTATTTTGTCTGATACTTTTATTCAGAACTTCTAATACCAAAATAAACAATAGAGAGGACAAGGGGCATCCTTGAATTTGAACTTCATGTGATTTAGTTAGATCACCATTTATGACAATATTTGCATTCTGTGACGTCTAGGTCACTTTAATTCCTTGGATAAAATTCTCTCCAAAGTCCATTTCTTCCAGCACCTTAAACATAAAGGCCCAATTTAGGTTGTCAAAGGCCTTCTCTGCATCTAAAAATATTAAGGCAGCCTGTTTTTCATTATGATATTGAAAGTATTCAATAATATTTAAGACAATCCTCACATTATCTCTTAGCTGTCTTTTTGGCAGAAATCCTGCTTGGTCTTTCAAATTGCCATCAGTAGCCACAGTGCCTTATAAATGTGTTAAACACTCCAACTCATCATCTGCAGAAATTGTACTTCAGTTCTTCGGGCACTGAAGTTCTTTGGGCACTTGTTCTTATAGAGTACAAGTAATTGCCAAGAAATTCAAGTACTTTACATCTGTATTTCTAACATTTTCTCACCGCTAGCATTTTTTTCTAACAGGTCTCTGAGTCTTTAAACACTTGTGGGACAAGCATAACCTTTGCCAATGAGCATCTATTCCCTACAGCATTGACATGTCAGGGAAAGAAACATCTACTGACAGTATTTCTGTATGTCAAGCAACTGAGTCTGACAGTTGTAATACCCAAGTGTGCGGCATCAGGAAAGAAAGATGGAACAATGGTCTTGAGCTATTTTAAAAATTGCAGTTGTGTTTTAATCTGCATTCAAATAACATGTGCTGTTGATGAATCATATCTGTGTCAGTTAGGCCATATCAGGCCCAGTGTTTTAAACAAATAAACAAAAACACACGAAACATTAATTTGCAATAATCTAACTGGCTGGAACGTCTGTATTATTAAAATTATTATTACTATTTTTCCCCTACCAAAATAACAGAATCAATAAAAAACCACCAGATGTGTAGTCTGTCCATAGTTATTACCTACCTAGAAAAATCCCAATAATATTAGATAAATCAAACCTATCAGCATATTAACTGAAAATCAGAGAACAAATTTTCAGTTTGTCTAATTTTTCAAAATGAAAAAAGGATACTATCTCTTTATCAAATATTGCATATGTCTGTATAATATATACTGAACTACTGAAAACAATTAAAATCTTCTATTTTTATGTTGAAGATCAAGTCATTTTATCAACAAAAAACAATAAATGTTATACCAGCTGCTAAAGGTAATTAAGTATCAGTCTTGGAAATAGATGTAGTATTTAAAGTACAGACAGCAATCTTTTTAATTTTTTTAGAGCCTAATTGTATTGGGAGTAGGGAATATTTTTTTTTTCCTGTCAGAACACGTGCTTCACAGTCATATACATAATTGTTTTGGCTAAAACAAAAGTGTGAAAACTTTGTACTGGTCCTTAAATATCCTTGACTTCAGAGCTGATAAAATATTGTTGAGTTTCTGTTACAAAACAGACTGCTAATAATTTGACTAAGACAGCTGTCATGCATGAAAAAGAAAAGAAATTTATTTTATATCCACCCTAAGCTGTATGACAAGTCTTCTTGCAGATTTTCCCTTTTCTTTTCATTCCCTCCTCCCATCCACCCCCAACATGATTTTGCAGCTGTTTCTGCTTCTTACAGTTGTAATTGTGGTTGGTACTTGGCTGGGAATACAATATCAGTACAGCTGTTGAGTGCTAAGTGAATTATAAATTTTTCAGTGGTTAAATAAAAAGAATTATACCATTTCAACCAGCAGTATTATGAGTTAGATTTTCAGTGGGTAAAAGTTGAATCTTGTCCATTGAAGGCTAATCATTGTTACAAAGTTCTGTACTTTTGATTGATGTTCCTCAAAAATGGCCATAATCTGTCTGGTCATATCATCATTATAAGAGATCACTGATATTTTAAGTGTTGATTCTATCACTGGAATTATAAATTTGATCTGTCTTCAGTGTTTTACAGATGTTTAGGAATTTTGCACATAAGGAATAAGACTAGTATAAGGTGTGATCTTATAAAACATAAAATGAACATCATTGGGTTTACTGTGGTGTTGGACTGATCCTTTGTTACTAATATAGTTTTCACCTCTGTAGAATAGTCAATCTTATCTCTACTTCTTTCATTTAAACTACTGTACAATTCTTTTTATGAAGCAATTGCTTCATTTGAATAGTTTATGCTTAAATTACGTAAAATGTAATGATAGTAGCAACAAACTTAGTCCAAGTAAATGAATTGTCCAATAGTTAATCCAAAAATTATGACAGATACTGTAGATTTGGAGTGCTCAACATGAGAAATGTTGAAATAAAACCAATTCTTGAAGCAACTATTTTTTCTAATATAATATTATGATGGTTAAAATCCTCAAAATAATTCCATTACCTTGAATGGATTAGAAATGTGTATAGCTAAAGTGATCTTCAAATGTGTTACTTTTAGAAGGACATGCTGAAAATGTTGTGAAATATAATATACTTTGAGTATATATCTTCTGGATAGTGTGGTTTATACCTGCCAGAGATCCATAAAAAAAAACCCAGGCAGAACTTGGTTTAATTTCAAGCTCCTTATTTTTATTTTTAAAAAGTCTTAAATTGCATACATATAGTTGTTAGTGTTGATCCACATTGTGATAAAAAGTTACTATGTACTGTTTTATTAAACAGCAAAAAGTTACTTCATTCAAAATAATGA